TTCATTGAACACATACAACAATGCATATTTCCACTGAGATCAGTGACCTTTGATGTGTATCACCAGTGATCAGTCAAGTAGAAACAGTCAAAATATTTTATCATATTTTCTCAATTTTTGCATGATATTTTCATACAGGGCATCTGTTGTTCAAACTCAGGGAAGACTTTATACTGATGAATAAGGTGACCAAGTTTGATAAAGTTTGGAATAGAATTAGTAAAATTATTATGCACACAATAACAATTATTAACGACGACGACGACGACAACGCCGGACAAAATTTTTCCCTTAATATACCTTTCCCTTCCATCTTTGATGGTACGGGCAAGGTAAAAAAAGATTTGCACCTGTAACATTATATCAAATTTGATCCAAATTGGCTGAGTTATCTCTAAGACGCGTGAAAAATGGTGATTACACAACATTGCTTGTCAGTCAGGCATATTGAATCAATCACAACAACAATGTTTGAAAAGATGCAACTCTTGGTATTCTATTAATGTACTAAGATTAAACAGAAAAGAAAATGGCTGCCTGCCAGTTAACAATATTTGTTCAAATCACAAAAAAAGAAACAAAATCCATTCCAAGATTCCTGGAGGAATCCAGGAAACAACAAATTTTGGATATTTCGAGGACGACAGAGTAATCATGTTTTGTTATTCATAGAAATGTATCAAGATAACATTATAAAAAGATATGGATACTTGCTTACTATATAATGTTCTCAGAGTATTTATGTAAAGACAGTTGTGTTACTATATAAAACAGTAATGCCTATTTTTGAGAGAAATACGAAAACAAAGTTTTACAATCACTGTAATGCCAGAATGTGTTGATGCAAGTTTCAGTTTGAAAGATGTGAAAAATAATCTCAAACTGATTTGACAGATTTTGAAACAAAAATAACCGAATAAATTAGAAAATGAGAATGTAATTAATTGTGAATTACTACTCAACATTTTGGTATGAACATTCCAGTGTGGAATGGGTACAAATTTCAGTTAATAGGTATGTTTCTCCACATTGTATCCTGTGTGTACTGATAAATTGAAAGTATAATGTGTGCCTGCTTATGATATGATGAGTGTGTGAAGTTGTAATGAAATCGACACAGTCATGTCTGGGATACAGGTGTGAGCGGACAGACGGACGGACGGATGGGCAGGCAAACAAACTTTATGTCCTGGTTTTTGGACTACAAATTAAAATGTACTGCTTCATTATCACACGATAATGTAAACCTCCATTAGTAAATTAAATTCAACAAAAAACAAAAACAAAATTGGATTGGATTGGATTCGGAAAAGAAACTAGATGTGATAATGTGTTTGGTATCATCTTACCTTGCTGTAGGCACTTCTCCTCATCAAATATTGTGCTGAGAGGGGATTCACTATTATTTAAAACACAGTGCTGTGATTTGGCAGCATGTCTATTCGCAGTTATTTTTCTTTAATTAAGTTGTTGAAAATGAGATCCTTGTAATGACTCTACACAGTGAAAATATTGGCTTACCAATTTGAAAATTAGGAATATCAAAATGAAATGAAAAGACTCATTTTGGTGCATTTGCAGTTTAATTGCAGTTCTGAGAATTGGATTTAACCTCGAAAGATTTACTACAAATGTAGAAAACTAAAAACAACTTCTCAAACAGGCAGAGGATAGAGGGCGACATATACAATGAATAATTTTGACACTAGAGGGCGACATTCAGCATTAAGCAGGTAATCAGGAGAACCAAGAATGAAGTTCCAATATTAGTGTATCTAATGACTACCCTTGTAACTCGTAAAAAAATGTTTAAACCAAGCAATGGTAATTTATATATATTACCTACAAATTATTTTTGAGCATGACAAATCTTATTAATATTAACTATTTGCTTGCAAGACCCGTTAAATGCAAATGTTATCAATTTAATATTAAAATTAAAATGAGTCAGATTTGATGTTCTAAAAAAAAAAAGATTATTAGTTAAGCACAATGAAAGAAATCAACCATCCACACTCAGTTCTGTCATGAGTCTCTCTTTAGTGTGAAATCCAATAAGAATGATAAATAAAAGTCTCTCCAAGGTAACCATGGTCACCATGAAACCAGTATCAGAAATGTTAATGAAATAAAAAATATCAAAGATGAAAATCGAGGTACAGAACACTTCTTGTTTCTCAAGTAAATAAAAATTACTATTCAATGACAAAAAGTAACAAAAATATTTTTTTTTTGATTATGTTGCTTTTCCTAAGTCAATCTTCTTCTTGATTGCTTTTGAAGAATGGTAGATCATGGAATCAATTAAACCAGCAACTAGAGAGAAAAAAAACCAAGAATATTATCATTATCTAAGAACAGATTAATTCCAGTCACTGAATTGATACAAAGGGTTTCATTCATAAACTAATGTGTCTTTTGAATTTTTGGAAATGTCTGTATATTATCTTAATTTGTTATTGTTGTCAACTATGCCTTGAATTTAAATTAAATTAAATCTTAAATTTTTACTTTGTTTTTGAAGTAGCCCATCATATATTAAACAGACTTATTTCATAAATTGTATTTCAAGAAAAAGGACGACATTTTGTTCATATGCACCTCCTGGTTTTCATCATAGTATTGTTTCTGAGAATGAAAGGAAAGCAAACAAGGTGTGAAAGAATGAAAGCAAGGAATGTTTGCTACTAACCTGTGAATACACCACCAATTATAGCACAGACACCCGTCATAAAATGCATAAATGACCTGAAATAAACAAAATACATCACAATAAGCATGTACATTTATTTATTTACACAACACATGTATACTAAAAATGAAAGAAATAAAGACATCAGTCACATTAAGAGATGTTTTTACTTATCAGATGACTAATTAATGCAGGGGTATGATGTAATGTTACTGGTAAACTAGCCATGACTTTGTCCTAGGTTGGTGCTATGATTCATTATGAATGAAAAACTTTGGCCAATAAACTTGTATCGTCTTGTGTTCAAAGTTGCTTGTACTTTTTAACAATGTTTAACACATGTGTCACTGGTGTCATTGTAGTTGTCGCATCAGACTCATGATCGGTAGACCCAAGTTCAAATCCTACCTTAGGCTGAACATCAAAAGGGTTGATCCCTACCCTGGGTGAATATGGTACAGACTCAATGGGAAGGCCAATTCCACTGGCCGAGATTCATTCACTAACGAATGCGACTTTGGATATATGGCCACACAGCCCTGTCATGTAGTCCCAAACATGAATATGGCAAAATGCACTATGTGTCAGCACTAGCACTTGCACTTTGAAAAGTGACAGTGACACTCAATGTTCAGAACTGTCGCCTGGCACAGAAACATTTCAAAAAAAAATTGCTTAGCTGTCATACATGTGAAGGGGGATTTGCCGACCATTGTTAAAGGGGAACCGATACTATAAATAGGGGAACCGATACTATAAATAGGGGAACCGATACTATAAATAGGGGCAAGATGGCCACCGCCGCTCACATCGTGGCAGGAGCTTCCGGGAAATGTGCCATTTACGATGTTTAGAGATCAAGCCATGATTCCAAATACATTTCTACGGGGGTATGAATATGTATGCTAGCAATTATACTCATCTGGTTGGGCTTTTTATGTATAAATGTTGTTTTTGGACGAAACGTGCTGCGACAAGTAAAAATCCTGAGTTTAAAATGGCGGTTAATGTGTGCAAAATGCCTGTAAATCACAGTTTGAGTAAGTGAGCATAATAAGCATTCATTTACCTAGTGGACAGAAGCAAAGTTAATTACCCATGAGCATTTGGTGCAATCCATGGGATTGAGCGGCTCCCCTTTAATATATTTCTGTTGATACACAGATTTAGTCAGATATTTGACTATAGCAGCTTCAGTTTTGTTCTGAGCATATTGATTCTGTATTGTAGGCAGGTGTTTACTGTAAAATACTTTATTTTAGCTGGAATTAATTTTTGAATCATTCCTTCAGCGAAAATAGCGAGAATTAATTCCAAGCAAAAATAGAGTATTTTACAGTAATAAGCCAATCACCATGTCTGACTGTTATTTCAGACAGGCTCACAGCCACTCCACATATTAAGCAGGTACAAAATTACATTGAAAATTTACATGTAAATTTTAAAATAACCATGAATAATCAACAATAAATAGACTATAAAGGCTACAGACTAACAACTGCTATTTTTCATTTCAATAAAGTTTTTAAACAGACAATTACCGGTAATATTTTCTGGCTATAACCCTGACTGTAGGTGTGCATGTTAACTTTGAAAGTTTATAAAATGTTCAAAATATATAGAAAATGTGCTTTAAACTTTTCACATCTAAATTTTAATACATTTTTAGTTTTTACTCAAAAAATTTGCCTCGTTTTTCTCAATCTTATGGAGGAAAGTGCAGACTATATACAGGACGGTTTTGTGAATTTGTGATGAAAAGGGGGAACTGGTGGTGAAAAGGTTATAAACACACACAATAAAGTTGGACATAATATAATTTAACATAGTTGAACTCTGGTGACCTTGCCCTTTGTTATATAATATAATTCCCTTTAACATATTTTGTTTCAATATAAATATGCATTGTCATAATTAATTTTGAATACAAACAAGTTTTGGGGTTGAACCAACAGTGGGGAATCAGTCTACCAAATGTCCTTAAAAGATGTAAATATGTTACAAAAACATTTGTGCCTTATTTGTTTAATTATTTTAAGGGACATAATTTCCAGCTTAATTCAAAGTAATTCAGATATTTTAGTATAAAAACAAATGCCTCATCGCAACACAAAAAAAGTGCTGCATTTAGACGTGAATAAATTCATAAAACATGCAAGATAACAGAAAATCTTAGCTGGCTTTTATCCAAGTATTTTGTACAGGTGTCTGTCAAAAATTAATGATTCACTGAGACAAATATGAACTGCCTCATTGTGTGACTACTGTATTATATGAAAAGTAAAAAAAAAAAAAAACACCCTTTATGAATAGCTATCATGTTGCAAGCTCTGCTTTGTATGCAAATCAACTTAAATAGTTACATGTAGTTGGTGTCCAGTGGAGGGAGAAGTCAACAGTACTGTTGTCTCCTGAAAATCTACATCTTCAAACACTGCAATCTTTGA